ACTTGGCCTGCATCACTGTCGCACAGATGCTGGATGAGATGAATAATTGTCGGTGGCACACCGTAGTAGCGAAGAAGTTGCCAAAGCACCTCCCGATCGACGCTGTCGAAGGACTTTTCAAAATCGATGAAGAAGATTTGTAGCTTATGTGGATGATTTGAAATTATTAGTTTTCTCTGAGTTAGTTGATTTATTAGAAGAGATTTCGTCGTCACCCCTTCCAGGAAACATCCGACTTCAGTGCAATTTTCAGCATAAAGTGAACTGATTTGAATTCTCCATGGGTGATAGAATTGTGTCCACCGGTAACCATCTTTACATATGTATTGATCGTTTTTTATTGACTCGGATTTGACACTTTCTCGTCACATGATTTACTTTTTATTAGTTTGTAGATTTAGTCTATATTAACTTGTTTGTTAATTGCATATTGGTTTGAGGACCAGGCTTCTAGGAATTCCCTGACTGCACTTTTGGTGTTTCCTCTGTTTAAAATTTCGACATTATTCCAATCAAACTGATGTCCATAATTATCCACAGGCATTGATATGAAAGAGTACATATCATGTCTTTTCACAGCTGATTTGTATCCTTGGATTCTGATTCGAAGGGGATGCCCACTTTGTTGATCGATGTAATGTCTGTAACAGTTTATACAATTTATTTTGTAAATGTTATTAATTTTATCTTCTTTTTCGTTTAGATCTTTCGGTTTGCACAATATCGAATGATGAAGTGATTTTGTCGGCTGGCTAGCTTGTGTGCTATATCTGTTGCAAACGGTCTTAATATTCTAGCTGTTCATTCAGAGATATTTTCTACACAATTTTGAATGAATTTTCTTGCGTTCTTTGATGATGGTTTGTTGTTGGTGTTATTTTGGATGTCTTAATCAGAAGAATTAACACAGGATACTTAGAAACACAAGTATATAGAAAATCAACGCACACAGATCAAATACTCAAATATACTAGCAACAATCCAATTATTCACAAAAGAAACTATGTGCGGACATTGTTTAAGAGAGTTCAAGCACACAATATCACACATCTGTGTTGAAGAAAATGGAAGAAAAATACCTATTAACAGTCTTCAAAAAGAATGGATATCCTCACAATTTCATCAAAAGTGTTAATACTCGAGTCGCAATACCAACAAGGAACCATCACCAAAGAGCACAAGAAAATTCATCCTACCATATATAAAAAATATCTCTGAAATAACAGCTAGAATACTGAAACCGTTTGAAATAGACATAACACACAAGCCAGTCAAATCACTCAATCAATAATTATGGACATCAGTTTGATTGGAATAATGTCGAAATTTTAAACAGAGGAAACACCAAAAGTGCAGTCAGGGAATTCCTAGAAGCCTGGTCCTCAAACCAATATGCAATTAACAAACAAGTTAATATAGACTAAATCTACAAACTAATAAAAAGTAAATCATGTGACGAGAAAGTGTCAAATCCGAGTCAATAAAAAACGATCAATACATATGTAAAGATGGTTACCGGTGGACACAATTCTATCACCCATGGAGAATTCAAATCAGTTCACTTTATGCTGAAAATTGCACTGAAGTCGGATGTTTCCTGGAAGGGGTGACGACGAAATCTCCTCAAGTAAATCAACCATCTCAAAGAACACTACTAATTGCAAAAGTTCACAGTATGTGCGTAAAGTTTAGTCTTCCTCTACCTTGCTTACTAAGTCCGGTGTACCTAAATTCGGTGTTCTCTACTTCGCCTCTCCCACTTTTTTGTTTCTTTTTTAACACTATGACTTAAATTCAGTTGATAGAGTCCAAGATGAGCGTTTCGTCCTATTTGGGACTCTTCACATGAATGTACCTGCATTCCTCAGTGAATCAGTGAGTGTTAGTGTCCTCACTGAAGTTTGAACCCTCTGCCCATAATTTCAAACGCCAAAGTGCTATTCACTCGACCACTCTGTCCAAGAGAGCCACCTTTTGTGCAAAGGGTCTTATTGATTATTTGATACAATTTTTCTGAGCACTTCTATCCAATCAGTTGACGGGAGAATCTTGATTTGTTTTAAGTATGACTTGCATTGACTGTCCCAAAGTGAATAGCCTTCAATCAGTGGTCTAAGCTTAATGGTCTCTTGTTAAGTAAAGCATAAAACGCCTTGGCGTAGTCCCCTCCCCTCATATTTCTTGGTCTCTATTTTATCCTGACTCTTTATAGGAAAATCAACTTTATTTTTGGAGTTTAAGAACCAACTGATAGCACTAACAGGACTACTGGAAAGCTAGGGAGAACTGGACATCTGTTTTGTCCTAGTTTGGGACTCTTCATCAGTGAACACCTACTGCTAGAGTTCGAACCCATGACCTACTGGTAACAAGACAAGCTTGTAGACCATTCAGACATTGAGGTCGAACTCACTAGCCAGCAATATGAACTCTAACTTCTACCCATTCACGATTTACGTCCGACCACTGTATGCTCCTGGACTTGAATTTCACTGGGTGCGTACTACTGATGAGTCCAAAATTAAAGGGAAACAGCTGTCCACTACTCTCTGAGTGATTTTTCAATACTTCTCTAACTGCTGATATCATTCCCTGGGGCAAACTTCAAAATAAATTAAATTCCTATCGACTTAACTTTTTTCCTCCAACTTTATCAGTAGTCATTTATTTGACAAAAAATTGTAACGAGACATAAAAATCGTTTTAATAAAAATTAAGCGTTTGAACATCTTTTCATTATTACATCTATGTTTTTCTAAAACTTCCATTAATATGAATAGCTTCAGTTGTCCCCCCCCCTCCCCAAGTCTCTCTTCTCTGTCTACCGTCGTTCACTTTTTCTTCGTCTCTTGTTTTCTTTTTTAACCATCGACAGAAATAAAAAGAAAGTTTCATTGAAATCTCATTAGAAATCAATAAATCTGTTTCACACTGTTTTTCCTTCTCTGATTATAGTTAAATTTAATTAATTTTAAATTTGGTTTTAATTCTCCTAGAAAAAAAGCGGACCGCTGATCCATTGAACAATTGAACAGTTAAAACAAAAACATTGAACTATTGAATCAGTTCAGTCCTGTCTTACCCTATGCATTAAAACAAAACAAAGACAAAGGTTTGTAATATTTCTATAAATATATAAACCTTTTCAAATTATTTTATTTTATTTTA